CTTTTTAAAATCGGACAATAACCACGCCCACATCCCATATAACGGTAATTTAGAGAAATACAAAATCTTCGATTGAAGCTAATTTATTCAAAATTGATGCTTGCAACAATTCTTTACCAAGAAATACGTTTATGGTAAAATTTTGGAAAATGGGCGTGGCACCGCCCACTTATGATCACATATAAGTATATCGGTAACCATTCTACCAATTTGTACCAAACTCGGTATGGTTATTGTACTTGCCACGTGTAAGCAAAACGTTGAAAATTATTGAAATCGGACTAAAATAACGGCCGATTCTCATATAACGGTAAATTTAATTTAAGAAATGCTTGAAACTTCAGTATTTCGAAATTGAAGGACGCTAATTTACTCAAAATTGATACACCTCGGCTTACCATCTAGCGGAAGGTTTCGGAAGGGTGAAAAAACATATATTTAATACTTGCGCCGGGTATTTAATGTTCGGCTCCGCCCGAACTTAGACTTTCTTACTTGTTTATAGTAAATTTTAATAAATTTCTCCGCTTTTAATATGCATATACACACCTACTTACCTGTCATTTACTATTTATAGATTAAGAGCACTCCCACCATTTTCGTAAAAATGTACATTAATATACAGTGTTATCTGGCTGGAGTGAACACCCGATGTTACGAACAGCTCGAAAGAGTGAAAATGAAAATTTTTCCATTAAGTACTCTATAGAGTGAACAATTTTGAGTCTTTGTAGAGTGAACAAAATTTAAAACCAGTTCTTTCCAAATTCAAAACTGTAACGTCAATTTTAATAACAAAAAGGGTAATCACGAATTGGGAAATCAGGTGTATGCTCGTATATGTTTGTGAAAAAAAACCACCGTTCACGTAGGTCAGCGTAAATTCCGCAGGGTTGTCACTGCCCGCTTCTTTCCAGCAGGATGCATCTCGGACCCCCGTCCGAATTTTTTGCTGAAGCGGCTGTCCTACCGATAAGCGTGAAAACCTTCGCCAGGCCAATCCCGGAAATCCCCGTGTCAGGGATCTCAACTCAGAGATTCGGCAACTAGTTAACGTAAATAAGCGGAATAAGTGGGAAGAACATCTGAAGATCTGTAACTTCGCTTCTGGTGTGAGCAAGCTTTGGTCAACCGTGAGGTCATTGTCCAATCCGACGAAGCGTGACGACAGAGTTGAAACATCTTTTGAAGACCACGCTTCGTCGGACCCGGAGCGATACGCGAGCTATTTTAGCCGACAGTTCATACTGCATCCTCCAGCAGACAAAGCCAAGCGTGGAGTAACCAGAAGGCTGCACAAACCGCCAGCACCAAGTGCGCCTCTTGTTTTCACCAGCAGCGAGGCAAGGATAGCCATCGGAAAGGTGAAAACCTCCAAAGCCATTGGACCCGACGGAATTTGGGAGAGTGGTTCCACTGCTTAAACCGGGTAAGCCGTCCAACAAAGGAGAGTCTTCTCGCCCGATAACTCTCCTTTCCCCGGTAGCGACGACAGTAGAGACCCGTCTACCCCCGCACTATACAAATCACCTGACCCCAGTGAAGCATCAGCATGGGTTCCGTACAGTGCACAGCACAACAATAGCACTTGATTCCATAACTACCCAGATAACTCGTAGCCTTAACCGAAATCGCCCGAGTGAGAGAACTATTCTAGTAACGCAACTAGAAGACAAACGGTGGGCGGCGAATTATCTCTTCAGCTTTTACATTTCTAAGCTCCCTCAACAATCAGAGGTAGTCCCGATTGTCTCTTATGCTGACGATTGCTCGATAATGGTTCTCTCGCCGAGCTTTCTCACTTCTTCACTGCACGGAGCCTAACCCTCTCCCCTACAAAATCCTCAGCAACGTTTTTCACCACTTGTACGGAGGAGGTCAGACTGAAACTGAGTATTATCGTCGATGACGAACCAATTCCGACGGTGAATAACCCGAAGATCCTCAGAGTAACCTTCGAAAGGGGTTCATAAAACTACCTGCGGACCCAACAGCTTACCAACAGCCTTGAACGGCTTTCACAGGGAGATAGTCCCGAGTTATATAGACTCTCGACCAGTGAATGCCTTTCTGGGCACGCAACCACCAGACGTAGACGAGACAGAGCTTCGTCTGCCTCGGGAGACTCGGACCACCATAGCCCAACTTGTTGAACTCATACCTGAGCAGAATAAATGCTGATGTTCCAAATGAATTCCCGGCATTCAGAGAGACGCCGAATTACTCGCACCATCTCTTCGCATGCCCACTGAAACCCACCCTGCTAACGTCTCTAGCCTTATGGACAGATCCCATCGAGGCTGCACGCTTCCTGGGTCTTCCGCTAATAGAGCTTAACGACAACGATACAACAACAGCAACAACAAGAAACATGTGTTGGCATTAGCTGTGGGAAAAGAAGACATTTCAGAGTTCTTAAAAATTCAACTTTAAAAGACGCACTGCGCTTTTGTCAAATGCATTGAATGGGCTGAAGTCAATACTACAGATTTTTCAAGCATTTTGGCATTTCAGAGCCTTCCAGACAAAGCAATACAAAAGTCGCTGTCTGAACGCAAAAAACAGACTGTTTTTTAAAGCAATACAATTTATTTTAAAGAACAAAAAACTCAATCTGGATATAGTGAACAATCTGTTTTCTATGAACTGGTCTGGCATTAATTAGTTCACTCGACCCAAATAGCACTGTATTGACCATTTTACTTAGTTTAGCGAATTGTATGAAGTTTAAAATATGCCTGCTACGTATGCGGTTGGGATCAAAAATCAGTACAAAGCCATAAAAATCAGCGCCTTTATTAACAATATATCAACGCTTATAAAAATTTAAAAAATTAAAAAAAAAATCTAAATATCTAAATTTTTGATCCGAATTTTTGAAAAATGTTGGAATACGCAGTTTTGACGCAGGCGAGCTGGAGTCGGAATTTGTTTACATATTTTTAGCAAACAACCTAAATCATATTTAGTTGGTGTGCTTATTAAGTACAACATTTACAAAAAATGTTGACTAAAAGGTATAATTACGAATTTTTGCTGAACGAATTCGCAGGCTTTTACAGGAAGTGGTTCCTGATCGCCACCTTCCATAAGGTTTATTAATGGCGAAAACAGCTTTTCCTGTAAATCCTGTGAACACTGCTAATACTATGTTGTGTTGAATTCAAGCAGTTATTTTGCGAAATGCTAGGAAACGAAACAATTTTTAGGGGACAGATTTTGAAAAATGGTTTAAATTTAATTAACGCTACGTATGAGTTGTCAAAAATAATTTTTTGAACATGTTAACCTCAAGTAAAAGTAATTTATACCAATTCACAAAAATATTTATTAAATCTAAAAATCAGTACAAAATCAGTACAAACACAGAAAATCGGTGGTTTTTGCCTACAGATTTCGGGTTCTTACAAACCAGTACAATAAAAAAAAACCGCACATTTACTGATCAAATTAGCGCATCTGGCCACCTTACATAAGTTGCACTCTTCTATCAACAATACCTAGAGGCTGTCAATCTGACACCTTATGCAAATATGAAAACAAATATTGTGCAAAAATTCAATAAGTAGTCTCGAAAAGGGCTGAAGCCACAAAACAAACGAATATAGCAAAAATATAGTGCAAAATTCCATTCCAATGCACTTATTTGAAATTCTAAACAAGTATACTAGATACAAAATATGTACTTACAAATGTACATACATATGTATGTATGTGACTTGTACGAGTCAGCATTCTTTATCACAGAATCTTATTGCATTTTGTGATACTTTCTATTGGATTTTATAGCCAGTAAATATGGCCTTTGGCACCACAAAACACTGAAAAACACTAAGCGAATCTCATATACAATTATGTATGTAGGTTGCATTAGATATGTAGATATCAGTAACTTATATATAAATGCAATAAGTTTTAAAATATATTGCATATTGCAAAAGTGTGGCAGCCAAATATTTTCAAAAGTAAGATAAGCAAAATCACATTTTGTTTGCAGCCACGCACTTGTCCTTTGGGTTTTGGCATAGCAACAAAAGGCACAATGATATCTTACACGAATATCTGGTAGACTTTTCGGCATCATATGAATACATAAATATGATGTCAGATGGAGTTAAATATGTAATTTTATTATATTTCAGCCTTCCTTTTGAGCAAAGAATAAAAGACAAAAGACCACCAATAAAATCTGCATCATGCTTAAACATACTCAGTACCTATGTACATATGTATGTACATATGTCACTTTTGTGGTAGCTGGGATCCTTGTGTAAGGTCGGGTTTGCCATGAAATTCTCAAATGCAATTATTATTGGTATCATGGGCTTAAAAAAGTTACAGCGGTCTTCACACTGAGCTTGATAATAGAAAGTATGCTTAATTTAACTGGAAGCCTGGCCTGTGCCAATTGATAGAAAAGTTCTATGGTGGAAAAACTTTTTACTATGGTGAGAAAATTTTACATTTCTGCTGTGCCAATTCGTAACTTTTTACTGCTTTTGACAGTTGCTTTGATGCACAAGAAGACTATCGAGTTTGCTATTTATAAAATGCAGCAATTATATAGAAAACATTTGCCTTTGATGATTTCAATTCTTCTGGAACTGAAATCCATGCATTTATTAGACCTTTTAGCAGTAATATTAGAAATAAAAACACGTCAAAACCGTCTGGTAAGTGTGTTCACAAAAATGTTTAAAACCGTGTACAATTGTTTCCAATAAAAACATATGTCGTTTTAGGGTATTATGTACATGCAACAAGACGTTTATTCCAAAATACTAAGCAGCATTATGAACGGCGATAACAAGACTACAAAAATGTATCTTAGGTTGTCCTCTGCTTCGTTTCGAAAAATTGTAACTCACATTCCCAAAAAGCGCCACGGATGGTCAGTGGAGTACGAAGTCATTTGCTTAATAAAGTCTTCAAATTATTTATATTGTTCTTACTCACTTCCAGCCTTCGTTGCTGTTGGCGTTCTTTGAACTGAACCAAACATCCTTGTCAATGCGCTTTTCCAGAAGGATTCTGCGTTCTGAACTGCTCCCTGTAAAATAGTATTTTTAATTAAAAAAATACATAACGCCTTTTCATATGTAAATCTGAAATTAAATCTTACAAGTTATATAGCTTTTCTTTATTTTTTTTGCCGGCAAGAACATGATCCCTTTTATTTCCACTCGCTTTTGTTTTCTTTAATTTATGTGTACACGTGCGTTGTTCGTTCTTCTTCATGATAATGCTTGCTGTCAAATTTATCACTAGCCCTGCCGTATCAAACATTTTTATTCACCTCATAGCTGTCAAAAATTTACTATCCAGAGAACTTTTCTATCAATTGGCACAGGCCCTATGATGAAATAAACTGCCTAAACTCAATACTGACAATAAATGTAGAACTTGGGATTTTCTGAAACCAAAGTGGGGAGGATTTCGCAGCCGTACTTATTTCGAAATCGGCTAACAATAAGTACATCTCTAGACCGAAATCTATTGAATCGTAGCGTGCAGTTCTACCCTTCCGGTTCGATCAACTTTTTTTTAACAAAACTAAAAACTTTAAAAGAGATTTGTCGAATCCGATTTTAGCATTTGTATTTATTTGTAATATATTTCTTAGTGCAAAGGCAGTTTTTTATGTAGGATGTTTGAACTGAGCACCCAACCGAGTTTTGGGATCTCTCGATTCTTCTCTTGTGGGAAAGTTTAAGACATACAGCAGTCTCCAAAGATAAATTTATCTACCTTCTAAATGAATCTCTATGTCCGTTACTCCTATTGTCACGCCAACAATAGTTTAAGAGCCCCGCTTGACGTTCTGCTAATGGCACATGTAATGCCTAAATAGACACGCCTCTGTAGCCCATGAGAGAAACTGTGGTAAAGAATTATAGCCGGTCTCAGGCCCTAAGTCTTACTGAACATTCTCTGACACTGTTAGAAAAGTACTCTCCGCTCGATGTTAGTTTTCCGAATCTGCTATTTACATACATATATATATGGAATTACCCATTTATAGATATCTAATTTCCGCAGAAAGACTTAGTACCAGAAGTCTGAGACCTTCTATTTTTCTTTTCTGAAATAAATCAAATTTTTTATTTAGAACCCCTGTAAATAATTGCAAGCGAAATCTGCTAACTCCGAACACTTATTTTTTTTTCAAACAAAAAGCTGCTAACTCCCATAAATACTATATATGGGTTAGTACAAAGGACTTACAGACCATTCCACACGATTTCCCACGCTATTGATTGCGAGTGTTTTCCACCACAAAGCTAATTATGGGTGTTATCATCGAGGTGTAAATCTACAGAAAATCGACACGCTAAATTTCTGTCGGTAAAAATCCCTAAATGAATAAGGCGTGTGCCTGAAAATATACAACGCTTCCAGGGAAACATAACATAACCACATTTTTGTGCCCATAGTTAATTTTTTATTTTTGTCGATAAAAAATTTGCCAGACGATTTCTAGAATCCCATAACAGAACGCTGTTAAGGCTTTGGAGGTCGTGTTCTCAAAATTAGACTTTCATTAAAGTTTACTTTTTAAGATTGCAGCTAAATACGCAGGAAATTCGAATAGCGATTTCCTTAAAAGCAGGGGGCACAAGGCCATCTAGCCTTCTCATTCTAGTGAAGAGCACAACACTAGTTTTGATTGGCTTAAGAGACAGCCCATTCTGCCTGCACCAAGTATAAATCACAATCACTGTTATTTGCGCTTTCCTGCAGACAACTGGCTGAGAAGGGCATATCATATGCAAACACCAGAGCACGAGAGAAAACACAACGCCCTGACGACCCCCTTCTGCCTGATTCCTAACGACCTTATTCGCGACCATTGAATGGATCCAATTTACCAGCACATAGTCTACTCCATGCCTTAGTGATGGCATTGCTGATTCTGGCGGCTAGATTTTGCAGAGCCGTCTCACAAAATTACCCCGCCTGATAGGCATGTTGATGCGCAACTGAACTTTTCTCTCTATATAAAACATCTGGTACTTGACGTGCCCTCTTATTAAATCTTACGACATTTATTTAAACAACTACTATTGCAGGCTGTCAACACCGGTATCACCTTTGATAGCGGCGATGACACAATTGCTTGCCGACAAGGCAATTCTATTGCCTAATTGTATTAATGTACATATGTACATACATATATATAAATTTGTGCACATTTATGTTTGCAGTTACCTCAAACGAGCATGCAAGCTTAAATGGGCGCTTGCAGACACCGGTGAAGATCTGTTATTATAAGTACATACATGTGTACATACTTATGTATGTATCTATGTATGCAAAATCGCTCTATCACTTTCTATGCACATACATATATACATACATACATATGTATGTGGTTAGTACCCACGGAAACAGCACCCACAACAATCGCACCTTAGTAGCAATACCAAATGTCATTTGCTTCTGTTTTGTCGCAAGGCGACAACACCCCCACCAGCATATGCAGGTCTTTTGAAAAATGAACAGCACCGATGCAAAAGTACTTTTAGACACCCTAAAATAGCATACAAAGATAAAACAAATCAACAGCAACAACTATGCCAACTTGAAACTAAGCTTGCACTGTGGTAAATGGTTTACAAACAATCGTTCAACTTCAAGTACTTCAGGGCATTTTTTTTTTTGTATTTTTGTTTCGTTTCGGTGCTGCAGGCGGTAAATTTTATAGTCTCGTGTGCGCCCCGCATTGGTTCTGCTCGGTGCAACATACAAATACAAATGCAAAATGCTTGGAGCAGTAATCATTCTAATATAAACGTGGAATATATACATACTTGTATGCATGTATGTGAATCGTAAGTATCCCTGTGGGGAAAATCTCTAGTTTTGAACTGGTGCGCCTGTAGTACGTTTAGACCCAGCACTGGGTCGCGATA